TTGGGGGAGAGGAGTCCAGCAGAGCTGGTTGTATTTTAAAGAAACCTTCCTGAGGGCACCGGAACAAGCCATCCTAAATGTGCAGGAAGAACAGCAAATGTGGCAAGCAACAAGCCCGGCTTAACAGAGAACTCTTTGGTGAGCTTAACCACAAAAAGGAAGCTTACAAAAGCAAGCTTGGACAACCAACTTGGGGAGAGCAGAAGAGAACTGCTCAAGCATGCAGGGATGAAACCAGGAAGGCCAAAACAACTGGAGTTGCAGCTAGAAAGAAACATGAAAGGAAACAAAAAGGGTTTCTACAAGTATGTTAGCAACAAGAGGGAGGTCAGGGAAAGTGTGAGGAGGCAACCTAGTGATAAAGGATGAGGAAAAGATTGAAATAGTCAATGGCTTTTTTACCTTGATCTTCACAGGCAAGGTCAGCTTCCAGACTACTGCGCCAGACAGCACAGTCTGGGGACAAGGCAAGCATCCTTCATTGGTGAAAGAACAGGTTAGGGATTATTTAGAAAAACTGGACAGGTACAAGTCCATGGGGCCAGACGCAATGTATCTGAGGGTGCTGAGGGAGCTGCCCCATGCAACTGCAGAGCTGTTGGCCATTATCTTTGAAAACTTGTGGTGATTGGGGGAGGTCTCAGGTGTTTGGAAAAGGGCAAATATAGTGCTTATCTTTAAGAAAGGAAAGGAGGGGGATCCAGGGAATTACAGACCTGTAAGACTCACCTCAGTCCCCTAGAAAAATCATGGAGCAGGGTCTCAAGTAATCCATTTCTTAGCACTTGGAGGTGATTAAGAACAGCTGTCAGCCAGTATCAAGTGGAGTGCCACCAGGGGTCATTCCTGGGGCCTGTTTTGTCCAATATCTTAACTATCTTGAAGATGGGATGGATTGTACCCACAACAATGACACCAAGCTGGGGGTGTAGTAGATGCACTAGAAGGTAGGGCTAGGATTCAGAGTGATCTAGACAAATTGGAAGATTTGGCTAAAAGAAATCTAATGAGATTCAACAAGGACAAGTGTAAAGTCTTGCACTTACGATGGAAGAATCCCATGCACTGCTACAGGCTGGAGACTGACAGCAGCACTGCAGAAAAGGACCTGGGGGTTTCAATGGACAATAAGTTGGATGTGAGTCAGCAGTGGGCCCTGGTTGCCAAGAAGCCTAATGGAGTACTGGGTTTTATTAGTAGAAGCATTGCCCACAGATCAAGGGAAATAATTATTCTGCACTGGGGAGGCCACATCTGGAGTAGCGTGTCCAGTTTTGAGCTTCCCGCTATAGAAAGGATGTGGACAAACTGGACAGAGTCCAGGGGAGAGCAACTAAAATGGTTCAGGAGCTGGAGCACATAACTTCTGAGGAGAGGCTAAGGGAACTGAGCGTATTTGATATGCAGAAGAAAAGACTGAGGGGGATTTGATAGCAGACTTTAACTACCTGAACGGGATTTCCAAAGAGGATGGAGTTAGATTGTTCTCAGTGGTGGGAGATGACAGAACAGGGAGCAATGGTCTCAAGCTGCAGGAAGGTAAGTTTCAGTTAGGTATCAGGAAGAATTTTTTCACTAGGAAGGTAGTAAGATGCTGGAACAGGTTACCCAGAGAGGTTGCGGACTCTCTGTCCTTCAAGATATTTAAGACCTGGCTTGACAAAGCTATAGCTGGAATGATCTAGTTGGGGATGGTCCTACTTTGAGCAGGTGGTTGGATTAGGTTCCTCCTGAGGTCCCTTTCAACTCAATTTTTTTTTACTCTATGATTCTCAATTGCAACTAAATTATACCATGGGTCAGCTTGTATTATACACAGATTGAGATGTCAGCCACCAATAAACAGCTTCAACACAGAACAAAGGAGCAAACCCATGGATTCCCTGTCAAAAACATTTTTACTCCATTGCATTGTTGTGCTCTAAGCACTCTTTTCCTGTGTTAATTCTGTGATACTGCTGTAAATTCTGGGGAGAGACGAAAACTTATTGCAGCCTTCTGCAATACACTACCTTGAGACATCTCTCTGCAGGAAAAGCAGCAGCTGAAACCAATGCTAAATACAGCATATTTTCTTACAAAGCAAGTCTTTTTTAGAAGTCAACATGAGCTGGAATTTTCAGACTGCTCCTGATGACGTTTCAATTTAACAAGTAACAGATCTGAGGTTTCAAATTAACAGAAAAGATCTGACTGCTGTTTTTTATTTGAAGAGTTCGTGGAGCTTGGTGGAGCAGGAGGATTAGTGACTAGCTTTTTTTCTTCTGGAAATCTACCTTAAAAAAATGTTTTTGGTCACAAGTCAAATGTATTTGCAGGCTCACAACTCTCCACATCACAAGACCATCACATGCCTAACTGATCCTTTCGAAAATAAGGAACCAGCTGCTAAGTCCAGTCATGCAATGAGCCTGGTTTTTCCTGTAAGGAAGCTACCACTGAAGACCTTGCTCTATACTGAGCAATTGCAATAGGATGCCAAAAAATGACAACATGCCAGATAAAAATGAACTATGAAACCAACAAAAAAAAATGTTGTTAGAGATACTTATGGACAAACATTTTTGGAGAAGGGAGATGATGACCACTCCAAGTTTGTTTTTGATAGCCAGATGTTATAAAAGAGCAAAGGTTTATGAAGGTAATTTAAAAGGAATTTTATGCCACCCATGTGACTTTGTCCCCACCATATTTGAATACATACAAGTTTTGTAAAGTTTTATTTCCTATCTTACAATGGTGTAGAGAGAAGTGCTATTAACTTCTTTTTTTTTTTTTTAATTATAAGTGGGGCACAAAGTGAATTGCACACATGAAAGTCTACTGTACAGCAGGGTAGTAAGCCAAAAACTTCAGAGAGCTAAGTTAATGCCTTCACCACCACACCATTTCTTCACCTAATAAGTCTATACTATGTCTTCTAAGATTTTTTTCCGCCAGAGAGAAAACACAAAACATTTATGGGCCCAGTGGTCACTGACCATCTCTATGATAAAGGAGCACTATAGGAATCACAGTCTCTTGGTTGGAGAGCATTTTACAAGACGACGATTATCTTCAGCCCATTCTCTTTGCCTTGGAGGAGTGTTTGAACAATACTCCTTTTGAACAGCAGAGATGTCTTATCTTCAGCCCAGAAAGACGAGTCCTACCACTCAGTCACAGCTGGTGTTAGCAGCTTTTTGTTTCTCAGCTTATTAGGAAGCCTGGTTGAGTGCCTTGGTTTATCCATGAATACATATTTTCCCTGACATTCATTTTCCAGCTGCATAATTTGATCTAATCTTTCCCTTATTCCACAATTACTTTGCACCAGCAATTCAAACTAGTCTCAACTCATGGTCATAAGAGCCTAATTCTCTTAAAAAGAACACTCAGGAGTATTCCTTCCTTCCTTCCTTCCAAGATAACAGAAGAAAGCCAAAGTGAGACTGACACACATCTCTCTGCCCCTTAAAAAAGTGCAATATCATGACCTTCTTAGCTGAGTTGTACAACAGACAGGAATTCTAGTCACTGAATGAGCTGAAGTTTCAATTCTAAATTTAATGTAGGTCAGTAGGATTTGCAATTTCCTTCCTCAGGATCAGGAAGGATGAAAGACAACTGAACAAAACTGCTGGTGCTCCTCCTTGCAGCATCCAAATCAGTCCTTGGAAGCAGAGAGAAACAAGTCTGTGATCAAGAAGAACAGACACCTATCTCTTCTTGCTCTGAAGGAGTGAAGCCAAGTTGCACTTCTAGTTACAGCAAACTTCCACTTACGGCCTGACTACCTGTGGTTTCAGTCTCACTGGAACAGTGGTTTTCAGCCTTTTTAGATTCAAGGCATTGCATGGTAGACTCAAAGCCCCCTCAGAAAATGCCAGCTCTTTGTGTCACTCGATTTTGACTGCAGAAAAACAACAATTGACTGAAAGCCTTCTGCTGCAAAAGGCTCAGAGAGATGCCAAGAGCTCACAACATTTTTATAATTGGAAACCCAAGGGCGTCTTACATTTGAAAGTTTGTCTAACCTTTATCCCAACGACATGGCTGGTCCAATAACAGGCATCGCCCTTAGAAATCCTTGCCTCTTGCACAATTTCTGGACCATCGCAGCTACAGCACCTCTCACCCTGCCAGAATGGTTGTAACGCTGCAGGCTCCTCCTGGGAAACTCTGGCTCTCTCTCATGAGGGATGTCTGCTAGTGCCAGCATTGTGCGATGCCCCATGGCACCCCTGAAAGGCTCCCAAGACATCCCTGGTGCTGGGGATGAGAATTGCTGCCCAGGGACAACCCACGCTGCATTTCTAAGGGCCCTGCTACATAGAAAAATGAAAGCTAGATAGAAACCAGCTACAGAGTCAGTACACATTTTCAAGCACTAACTTTCCAGCTGGCTGGTTCATCTCACAGGAGAGTCCTGGGTGGCACATGTGGCCGGTCTAGTGATTTACCAGTCAGTTGCGTCATAAATACGACGTCTAGCAGGGCCCAACAGGCACCGGATGAGAGGGAAGCTCTGATTGACCTAAGCGCGAGGGGGGGCGGGTGTCGATGCTCCGTGCTGGGAGCTGACCCCCGCCTCGGCACCAGCGGATTCGCCACGACGCAGCCCCCGACCCGCGGCCGCACTTTCGGCCGCAGCTGGGGCAGAGCCAGTGGGCCCGGCCGCGCCCGCCCGGTCGCTCACCCGCCGGCGGGGGACAGGAAATCCGCGTCGTCCTCCTCCACGCCCCCGAACATGCTAGGCCAGGCCGAGCCGGGCGGGCGGCTCCTACCTATGGCACGGCGAAGGGGCCGAACGGCGGCGCTCGCTTCCCAGCCCAGCAGCGGAAACCGCTCACGTAACCCGGCAGCGGCCTAGAGGCGGGATACCCCGAACCCACTTGGCAGCGCCGAGCCAATGG